GCCTCATCAAATATCACGTGAACGGACTCCTCAACTTTGAGGGTCCGTTTATTAAAAATTGGATAAGCTCTACTGTTCACAGCATACCCTAGAAATATTGACTCATCTGATTTTGAGTCAAACTTCCCTAAGTGGTCTTTTGTATTCAAAGCAAAACACTTGCATCCAAAAGGATGGAAGTAACTTAGATTTGGTTTTCTATCCTTCCAAATTTCATAGGGTGTCTTGTTAATTTTAGATCTGATGAGAGCTCTATTTGTTACATAACACGCTGTGTTAATGGCTTCTCCCCAGAACTGTTTAGGGGTTCCATAGTCATTTAACATGGTCCTAGCAATGTCAATCAAGGTTCTGTTCTTTCTTTCCACCACACCGTTCTGTTGAGGGGTTCTAGGTGCAGAAAAGTTATGAGTAATTCCCCTTTTATTACAAAACAGTTCAAATTTTTCAGAAATGAACTCACCTCCGTGATCACTTCTTATACTACCTACTTTTAACTGTTTTTCATTTTCAACTCGTTTGACAAAATCCTTGAAGTTTTGATAAGCTTCATCCTTTGTGGTTAGAAATAATACCCAGGTAAACCTTGAGTAATCATCCACAATCACAAAGGCATAATACTTACCACCTAGGCTCATCACATTGCTAGGTCCAAAAAGATCCAAATGAAGTAATTCTAGGGGTCTGACTGTGGAGATTACTGTTTTGGTTTTGAAAGAACTTCTGCTGTGTTTACCCTTTGCACAGGCATCACAGAAGAAATCCTTCTTACTTTGAAGTTTTGGAATTCCCCTGACAATGTCTAAGTTTACCAATCTTGACAAAATGCCAATGCTTACATGCCCTAGTCTCCTATGCCATTCAAATTGATCATCCTTGTTGACTGAAACTAGACAGGTTTCATTAAATGCAGACTTATCTTCAAGGTCTATTGAAAACAGTTTTCCTTTACGTTTTCCTGTTAAAATCCGTTTATGAGTTTCTGTATTTTCAACAAATCATTGGTTCTTTTCAAAAACAACTCTATTTTCATCTCCACACAATTGTCCGATTGATAAGAGGTTATGTTTGAGGTCTTTAACCAGCAATACATTACTGATTGAAGGAGATGTTCCTACCATTCCTTTTCCTAGAATTTCAGTGCAAAAGTTATCACCAAAATAGACTTTTCCTTTGTTTTCAAGAGTTAGTTTAGAAAAAAGATTTTTATTACCCGTCATGTGGTGTGAGCACCCACTATCTAGAATCCAAACGCTGCCTTCCATGCTCACTTGGAGACAGGTCTGCAAGAATGCATATACAATCATTTAGTTTTAGGTAACCAAACTAGTTTAGTTACTTTTCTGATATGAGATGAATTCACTAAATGTTGATTGTAATCTAGGTTTTCATGCCAAGACTGTTTCATTCTGTTTTCCTTGTTTATTCTTCTTCTACAGTTAGCAATGTAGTGCCCAGATTTGTGACAATAAAAACATTCGTGTTGTTTGTGTGCTTCTGATCTTTTTACATTTTCAGTTTTTACCTTAGTTTTAGTTTTTATCTTTTCTGACTCAGTTCCTGCAACCTTTATCTGTTCTCTTAGCTTACAGTTATCTTGCAATAGTTCTTGAACTCTATTTTCAAGACTCAGTTTTTCACGCATTAGCTTTTCAAATTCGATTTGCAGCTTATCATGATTTACTTTGATAGAGAGATACTTATTTTTTACATTCACACATTCATTCTGAATGTCCCTAATTGTCTCATCTAATAATTCATCACAGTCACTTTCAGAGTCAGAGTAGTAAGTTGTTACCTGAGAGTTCTCTTCTTCGCAGTCATCCATTGCCATGTAAGCACTGTACTTGTGACTCGCATCGTCCTCTTCTTCTTCTTCCTCACTGCAGCTCCAGGTGGCTGCAAACGCCTTTTCCTTCTTTACCAGTGGACACTCGGCTTTGATGTGCCCTGGTTTGCCGCATCTGAAACATCCAGATTGAGTCTGGGTTCTTTCATTGCTTCCTCCTTCTCTCCGACTCCTGAATCCTTGTCGTCCTCCTCTGTTATTTTCTTTTTCATTTTCTCCGTCTCTTGATCTGTTTGAGAATCCTCCTCTTTTCTTGTCTCTTCTGATCTTGAGCAGCTTGGCAACGTGCTTGCTTAGCATTGCAAGCTCATCATCCTCCATTTCGTCCAAGCAATCCAGATCATCTTCTTGAGTTGTGGCCTTGAATGCTATGCTCTTCTTTTCTTTTCTTGGCTCTTCCAGATCTTCTTTCTTCAGCTTATCCTCATGTGTGATGAGAGATCCAATTAGATCATCCAGGCTTAACCTGGTGAGATCTTTCGATTCCTCAATCGCGGTGACCTTAGGTGTCCATTTCTTGGGCAAGGCCCAAAGTACCTTTCGTACTAGATCTGCACTAGCGTATTCCACCTCCAGGTTTCTCAAGCTGTTGACAATCGTCGTGAAACGATCATTCATCTCTCTAATCGATTCGTCTGGCTTCATGATAAACGATTCGAACTCCTGCTTGAGACTGTTGATTCTTGAAACTTTGACATGCGAGGTACCCTCATGTGCAATCTGCAACTTATCCCAAATTTCCTTTGCGGATTTACATCCAGTCACTCTGTGGTACTCTTCTGGTCCCAGTGCACAGTACATCAGATTCGTCGCCTTCGAGTTAAGCTGAAAATTCCTCTTGTCGGTCTCTGTCCAGTTTCCACGAGCCTCCTTCACTTCCAAGGGTCCATCTAGAACAATGTTCCAGAGATCCGGATCAGTTGATCCTATGAAGAGCTCCAAGCGATTTCTCCAGTACCCGTAGTGTACGCCTTCGAACCTGGGAGGTCGAGTTTGCGAGAATCCATCTGCCATGAAGATTCCATTGGTTGATCCCGAGCTCATTGTCTCCGAAGACGGTTGCGCCTTGTATTCCGGAGCCGGGCTCTGATACCACGTGTGGATTGATGGTCGAGCGCGAGACCAATGCTTCTTCGATGCTTAGATTGAGGACCTGCAAACCCTAATCGACGATTTTGCTCGAGCAAGTGAAGAATGAGTTTGATCTAGAATTGATTTTTCTTAGTTTTGATAAAACGACAAAGTAATTCGTATGACAGCAGAAACAAATAAAATATGGGCTATCGTTTTAACTTAGATAATACTGGGCTTTGGCCCAAGGTTTTTATTTCAAGCCAAATAACAGTAGGCCTGCTTTCTCAAAAGCAGCCCACGTTTTACCTTCTTCTTCCTTCGTGTGGTGAGAACTTCCTGAAGCAAAGCTTCCTTGTACCTGGACAGCTGCTGCAACAACAGAGTAGCAAGCTAAGCACGAAACAGAAAATACACACACACTGCACAGACCTTTTTACGTGGTATCCGATATTGGGAGAAGAAGAATCCCAATATCGACTAATCCACGGTAGGAATCTCTCCTCTTGAGGATTCCTACGTAACTACTAGAACTCTGTCCTGGTTCCTGTTTTACACACTCAGAGTTTGATTAGAACAACTCTCTGCCTATCAATCAAACGTTCCTACTGAAGCACGATCTCCCTGATCACCCTCAGTACTAACAGCTATTCTCCCTGATTAGCTTCACTGATGTTTTTCGCTCAAAAAGCTATTTCACTCAGTAACCTAGTACTCTGCTTTTTGATCTCTATGAAAAACCTTAGCCTTCAGTTTGGTTGTCTCGTGCCTTTTATTGCATCTCTTCAAGCTAGCCGTTGCAGGACATTGATTTTGATTTCCCACGAATCTGCTCCAGCTTTCCATTCTTGAAACCTTCCATTTCAGTCTTGGTTGATTGATTCTTTCCCATTTGACGAGCTTCACTCAACATCCTGTAAACCTAAGCTGTCCACCTCAACCTCTAACGAATTACAGCCAAATTGCAGGCCGCCGTTTGTAATTATAACCAAATAATTGTAAATGAATAATGTAAGAATAGGTGGGACTAACTGATTTATAACATGGTTTTAAAGTCTTATTTACAAGCAATATTTTGTGTAGTTCTGCTTTTATTCAGGGGTGTTGCCCGCACTTTGTCGTTGTGGCGGAGATCACACGTCTTCTTTCCTTGCCTTGGCTGGTTCCCATAGAACATGTTTTTAGGGAAGCTAATTTTGTTGTTGATTACTACTCAGCATCCCTTGGTCACTCGCGTTGTTCTTAGGGGCTCACTCTTTTGCGAGTACCTATTATCTTATGAATAACCTACTAGTTGTACTTTGATCATATCGGGGTGGAAAGTGAAAACACATCCCATTATTAATGGATAATGGTTGAGATCCCAATAAATTGACACAAAAAAAACAGAATTTTGTGGTCGATCTTGTTCTACATTGGATGATTACTCATATATATATTCATACACACAAAAAAAAAGAGTTGATTTCATACTGGAAATACATTAACGACCATATACAAACTTCAAACTCATGAATAACTACCTTTTGATTTGGAAGTCATTCAGACTAATGTAAATATCGATGGTGCAACTACAATTCTAAATAGCGGGAAGGCAATGGTCCGACTAATTAATTACATGAATCAATTTTTATCATTACCCAGCTGTGAGACGGTAAGAATGTCATGCCTCGTTATTTTGATTAATATGAAAGAGGAATTATTCTGTGATAAGTTGATCGTATTAATAAAATTGTCTGAAGAAAACTATCAACAAATTGTTGATGGAATTGCATAAATCAATAGATAACACACCTAAAGATAATCAAATTTATGCAGTTGATGATGAAATTTGCAAGGGCGGGGGGGATGGGTTTCTGCATAAACAAATAAATGATTCATTAACTTGATGCGACTGAAACCAAAAAGTTAGATTCCGTTTTAGTTTTTACACAGTCAAACATATTCTTCTTGACCGGCTTTTTGTCCTTGTCTACTCACTGCCACCTTATAAATTCGGCAGTCGGCACACTTCCATGCATCAATATAATATATAACACACAATCCAGCTTTAGAGAAAGCCAACTAAGTACGAATAACTATGGGTTCTTATCATCATGAGCCACAAAAACAACTCCCCACCATCGACCTCTCAAGGATCTCGCCGGCGCCGGAGCTAAGGGGAACGGAGGAATGGGATGTTCTGTGCAGAAAAGTACGGGAGGCATGTGAGGAGTACGGCTGCTTCGAGGTGGTGTACGAGCCTATACCGGTGGAGCTGCGGGCCGAGACGTTCTCGCTGATCAGGCGAGTCTTCGAGCTGCCGGCGGAGACCAAAGCGCTGAACTTCAACCCTAAGCCGTACCATGGCTACACCGGGGTTTATAACTTGTATGAGAGCTTGGGGATCGAAGATGCCTCCAACTGCGACTGTCTCCGGGACTTCGCCGCCCTCATGTGGCCTCAACACAATGGCCATCGCCAACATTTCTGGTACGATTTACTGTCATGATACGTATTATTGTTGATACAATTGTATGATCGACTGTCATGATACGTATTATCGTTGATACATATGGTTTAACAATTGTATGATCGACTGTCATGATAAGTATTATCGTTCAAATTTTAGATTCTGTTGTAGCTCTTGTTGTTATTCCTTACCTATGTCATTCACAAAGAAAGACATATATATATATATATATATATATATATATATATATATATATATATATATAAATAAATAAAAGATGATCTCATGGTGCAAAATAGAGAGCTTGAAAGGGAAACACAAGTTGACCTTTTAACAGGTAATTTCTAAATCCCTACATGAAAAGAAAAAAAAAATTGTAAGGTTTGTAAATTACTTATTAAGAATTAACAAACTCTTTTATTAATCATTTACGAACAATAAGAAAGATTCAGTAAACCTGTCGTCGCGTCGATGTTTATTTTGACGTTTCTTTGTTTTACCTAAGCCGAACGTATGAGTTGTCATGTAATGACCAGACAAATTCGAAAATAACCTTTTTTTATCGCTTAAATTTTTTTCAGCAAGACGGTTGGCACCATGATGAAGCAACTGGAGGAGCTATGGCGGATGGTTGAGATGCTGATTTTGGACAGCTACGGCTTGACGAAAGCGACCGATGAAACGACGACGTCGTCGTCGATCATGGAATGCCAGACCTTGCTGCGCATAATGCAATACACAGCGCCTCCAATGGGGAAGCCCATGAGCGGCCTGCCTGCTCACACCGATAAGCCGCTCTGCACATTCCTCTGCGACGATCAAGTCTCCGCCCTTCAAATTCAGCTCAACCAACCGCCGGGCGCCGGCGAAGAGCAGTTCATTTCAGTTCCTATCAACCCCACTTCTTTCGTGTTTATCGTAGGAGATCCTCTAATGGTACGACCTTCACATAAAAAATGTAACATCATTTCATTCGCCGTTGCGCCACATACATTTATTACTCTGTTGTCCTCCTGCAGGCATGGAGCAATGGGAGGATGCACGCAGTGAAGCACAGGGTGTTGATGAGTGGGACTGAAGCGCGATATTCGCTGGGAGCTTTCCAAATTCCGGTCGAGGGAACAGTGATCACAGCACCCGAGGAGCTGGTCGACGACATTGCTGGTCATCCGAAGCTGTTCAAGGACTTTGATTACAAGGATTTCATCAACTTCTCGCGGTCAAAGGAAGGGACCGATCTCCCTTCACATCGCATGATCCACGCCTTTGCTGCCAGTGCTGATCACAACTGAAGACTCTACGAGTCCATATGTCGCTGCGCGAAACGATCTGGGTTTACCTTAGTTTCGACGGAAGGCCTCGTTGTAGAGAAGTTCTGGCAGCACAGTGTGAGGCTGCCAAACTTCGATTGGAACATTCTGTATGCTTTTCATTTCTCCTCGGTTAATTGTTGTTCCCCCTCTGATTCAGTCAAATGCATTGATAGATGAATAAAGAGGGACTTGAAGGATAAATACCTGGTTGGCTCGATCAAAGACAATGGAGAACTTTTAAGCCTAAACAAAGGGGGAAATGATCTGCAAGACAAGGCAAACCAAACTGTACAGAACATATCCGTGGACTAGGCAAAAGGTCTCTGTGCTGTCTGTTATACATCAAATAGTAGCTAGTAGAAACCACAAACTAGAACAGGTTCCTCAAATTCACTAGGAAAGAAGAAAGAAAAGGGAAAAAGCTTCCTACTTCAGAAAAAAGACCAGTACCATGTTTACCAATTTATCATACAACATTGACGACATTGCAGAAGTGGGGGTTAGTTCATTCGAGGGAGGGTCATATATAGCTAGTAATGCTTCCCCTCCAGAGGCAGGAAAAGATGCACTAGAACCATCCAAAATCCGTGTCATCTTTGATATCCTTCGTGAGTGTCACTTCCATAGTTTTACATACTTGTCATGACTGGCCGACGCGACTAAACCACCATTCACAGGTGTTACTGCCAGCGCAGCAATCAGCCCGTCGTGAGCTCCCAAAGTCATGGTTTTGTTCTCCGTCATGTTCCATAGCTCCAGCGACTGCCATTTCAAAACACCCCCAGTTTCTTATCAGAATGGCAGACATCTTACTGATTGAGAAATGAGATAATTAAGGCATCTGTTAGGTAAGGTACTTGCCTGGTAACAACCGATAACTAGCAACGAAGGGTAGGTGGGATGGAAAACACCGGAGTGGAACTTGTTGCCACTGCAGCTCAACTCATGAACACATTCTCCCTCGCTCCCTGACCCGAGTCTCCATACCTTGACCGAGTCTTCGCTAACCGATGCCAGATAGTCGCCCGTGGGATCCCAGCACACGGTATGTATTGGCTTAGTATGTCCCTGGAGGAAAAACCAAAATTCCCCACTCAGCGACATTAATAGAGGTGGCGAACTCTGAAGACATTAATATCAAGAACTTGAAATCACTAAGCGAATCAAGGTCCTTCAAAACAAGAAGTTGACATTTTGATTTAGCTAATTCCTTTCTCAACATGAAAAAAGCTTTAAAACATTTGCTTGTGATCTCGAAAAGGACTCATTTATCCAGACAATCAATGAAATGTGACAACGGGAACTTACAAAGGTTAATTGAAACGAAATGAGATAACCACAAACCTGTAGTGAATGTAGACAAGCCTGGGTTTCAACGTCCAATACAGATACCACATTCTCAGCAGCTGCAGCAAGATATCTCCCTGTACGGGGTTGGAATCTCATCTGAGCAGTGCCACCCTAAGCCACAGACAAAACAATCGACCATCAGAAATCTGCGTTCTGCTAGGTTCACAATACATTACAAACAAAAAACCCAACACTTTATATAGTATATACCTTGAACACTCTTTGGCAACCATGTATAATGCTCCAATAACGTATTTCACCATCCCCGTCACATGAGCATATAAGGTCGTCTTTATTTGGGTGGAAGTCAAGGGACATAACAGAAGCAGAATGGCCAGTGAATGTTCGTAAAGTGTAGCCAGGCTGCAAAACCATGGAAAAGAATAGTATATATAACCTCCAAGGCTCCAACTAACACTTAAAGACAAGAGGGAAGATCCACATCATAAATCCAGCCACATAAAAACATGAAGCATTCAAACAGAAATAGCAGCAAAGACCATATAATCCAAATGAACAACATATAATACTAACATTGTCAGCATCCCAAACCCTGACAGTTTTGTCAAAGGATGAAGTTGCAAGACGTGGCATGCTTGGACTGAAACGGATATCAGTTATCAAAGATGAATGTTCTTCAAGGGTAGTTTTTGGCTTCAAAGTGTCAGTGTACCACAGTACAGCCTGGAAAGAAAGATCAAAACAATAAAAATTCACAATCTTTTCAGTATATATACATCGACAAGAATGTCAACAAAGAAATATATATACATCAAGAAGAAAAATGTCCTAGCAGTATTATCCCATTTTTAATGCAGGTAGGTAACTCATGCCATTAATGACTAAACACATAAAATGATCTCCAGAAGTAAGTCTTGCATTGAAAATCAAAAGTGTCCCGTCCATTTACCTTTTTGTCATGACCACCGCTAGCAAGCAACTTGCCATCAGATGAGAAGTGGCAGCATATCACTTTGCTCGTGCTGGCCCTGGTAGCATTCACTTCTTTAAATGAGAACCCTGAAATTTAAGAGAAATTTAGTCGCTCGAAAATCTTTGCTGATGAAAAGAACTTTACAAGTCATCAGGAAGTCAAGATTGATTTGAAGTATCTGCTGGCACACCTTGGCTGACATCCATTCGAGGCCCTGTATCTCTTGGATCAGCATCATCATGGGATAAAAAAGAATCAACGTTATCCTCAAGGGATCCATCCTCCACAAAACGATCCATATCAGCCTGCAATTCAATTTCCTCATCATCCCACAGTAAAAAAGGGGATTTTTGCAATGAGAATCCCGGCAGCAAGGAATTCCATTTTCTGTTGCCGATAAGCAAACGACAAACACCTACCAATTCTGGTTTAAAAAAACATACACCTACCAATTGATTTGATGGTGATGTCAATGTGGCAGCACCATCAGTACCAAACATCATCAGAGGCTGAGAAGAACTACTACTATGGGGTAAAGCAGGCATTGACATCACGTCATTAGGAGTGTGAGTTGAAGGTGTTGAGGGTGCTGAGCTCGGAGATGGCCCAGTCGTGTTTGCAGTTCCAGAGCTATTGGCCGGGCCAGAAGATGATACTGGCTGTTTTCTCTTCCTCCCAGTCTGACTTTTAGAAACCTTGAAACAAAATATAAAAAGAGGGAATTTGGATACACGTTAGCAACCTATACGGTATACCACGAAGTTTTTTTTAGAAACATACTAATAGATCAAAACCAGCTAACATTATTGAAGATTGTTCTGCCGCAAAGACCAAAATCATCTTGAACAAAAACGACAGAAACATGATTCTATGCAATCAGTGTGCACTTTTGGGGCAAACTTGTATTTTCAATTAGTCTTCTGTCATCCTGGAATGGATAAGACTTCCAAGAAGCTTGTTTTAGCTCCATTTAATAAATATACAGCCTTAAGTAACCCTCTTAAGGGAATCTAATAACTAAGCTCTCCAATCAAACACAAACGCTTCCCATTTTCAATTTCTACCTTCTAAACTTCAATTTTTATAAACTTCATCTATTTTTTAGCTTAAAATAAATAAATAAATTACATTTCCTATTTTACAACATATTCCCCAAAAATTTAGAAAGTAGAAGGTCTTGATAGTAAAAACAAGGGTGGCTCAATTAACCTTTTTCATAATACCTACAGGACTTCGATAATTATCTTTCACTCAAAAAGTTACTCTACAACACCTCCAACTGAACATTCAACTTCCTACTAACTTATGTAGCCAACTTCTCTTACAAATCTTCTATTGATTGATACAAACAGATCCAAATTTTCTGGTGAGTGAAACTTCGGATGAGCACCAACAAACAATTTGAGTGCCAAGATAAAAGAAGTCAGAGCCCCCCTTAAGTTGAGAATGACAATAAGAAAGGCAAAAACACGAAGATTCCAAAACATGGGCGAAATGAAGTTCAAAAAGAAAGCAGACCTGCTCATTTCCACGGAAAGAATTGGAAAGGCTACCATCTGCAGTAACACTGCCACCTCCACCCATCTTATCTTGTTGATGAAGATTGTGATTTGAACTCTGTGATTGCTGGTTCGACAAAGAATGCTGCTGCGGATTACTATTTTGCTGCTGTTGCTGTTGTTGTTGTTGTTGCTGCTGCTGTATTTGAGCCATTTTTAACTAGAAATGGAGGGCAGTGTCAGAACTTCTCAACAAAATACAGAGTTGCACAGCACCATTACTTGGAAGCGAAGAGTAACAGGAAACAACTAGCTGAATCAAACTGGCAGAAACGTACACACCTTAATCAACATATCAGTATCTCCACGACCCATTAGAGGACCACCAGCTTGGAGAGGTGATCCTACATTGGGAACAACATCACCAACAGAGTTTGCAAGGCCATCCTTTCCCATACTCATACTTCGGTTATTCAATAGCATTCTTAGTTTTCTGGTCTCCTCACTTGCAGCTGGTGAAGTTAAACTTTGTTGTGCAAGCATAAGCTGTTGCTGATGTTGAGGCGTCAGCATCTGAAGCTGATGAAAGGGCTGAGGAGCCTGTATGAAAGGCTTTTGCTGCTGAAGAAGTCCAGAGCGAAGTGGATCAAATCCCTACAAGAAACAAAGCAGCTGGACTTCAGATCAAATGTGTAAAACGATATTTCAGAGTACAGACATTGAAACATCTAAAATTATTAAAACATCTACACTGTGATTGCAGGAGCTACTGCACACACGGAACTTACAGTGAGTGGCCATCCTTTTAAAGTCAAATTATTTCCACCTTGATTTGAACCTAGACCAAAAGATCATACATGAGTGAGAAAAATGTCCAAGACTAAGTAATGCATAAATAGTATACCCATCTCAATATAATGCACAGCGCCGGAGGCGCAAATAGATATTAACCACGTCCAACTTTTTCATTTCGTCCATTACTTTTTATAATCTGAATTAATTATTTTCATCCACCCAAGAAAACAAAAAAGTGGCAGGCATAATACCAGGTATTCCCATCAATGATCCTTCTGAACCAGCAGATCTGGGGTTCAGAACTGGATTGATCTCAGTCTTTATATCCTGATCCCACACACAAGTACGTCAGAACAAGATATTAACCATGGAAACTGAAAAGAGTAACATATTGTTAAAGGTCCATACTGGAGATGATCCAGGAAGCTGCTGGCTCCGAGCCTGTAATTGTGGAGACATTGCACCAGCTGCTCCATGCAACACTTGCCTGATATGAAAAGCAATGAGCTCTGGTTTAGGCATGGGAATGCTACCAAATGCATAGAAGCGTCGGTTTACAAGCTCAGACAGTACATTGTCACGCTAGCACTTGCATAGATGCATAAAATGTTCAACTAGTTGACCAGACACTAAAAGGGGAAGGAGCTTTTACTTTAAGTGGAATGATTTAGTTCCTTGTATATCAGTACTACAAAAAAAAAATCTTTATAGTTTTATTTGTATTACTTGACTTAAGACAAATAGTAAAAGTGAAACGAGGGGGAGAAATATACTGCATGAAACAAACCCTCTAACTCATTGAACCACAGGTTTGAAATTTGCCTCTATGAAGCCCGTGGTTACTGCTGAAACTTGAAAATTAACAATCAAGAAAGTTTGGCTTTGAAGCAACAAAATCCACAAGGTTCAAATAAAATGTAAGAAGAAAGTACCCTGAAGCCTGGCCTGTTGCTGCAGCAGATTTCAAGATTGAAGCATGGTTTGGATCCATAAGTTGGCTTACATTTTCACCAAACCTTTGCTGAAAAAAGTTTCAAAGTTGAGTGTGAGATATCACATGGTGCCCCATAGTCCAAGTAAATCCAGAGAGAAAGTTCGACCTACCTTCATTGCTGCATCATCCAAAGAGTCCCTCTGCATTGGTAGTTTCAGTCTCTCTTCATACATTTTTGTGGCTAAAGCATTAGCAGTTCCAGGGTTCTGGCGCATGATAGGGTCATTTCCTGCAAGCCCATTTGTATTGCCATTTAAGAGATGAGCACCATCCCTTCGCTGCTGCTGCTGCTGCTGCTGGGACGTTGTCGGCTGCTGTTGCTGTTGTGGTGGTGGTTGCTGCTGCTGCTGCTGTTGCTGCTGCTGTTGTTGCTGTTGTTGCTGCTGTGCATGCCTCTGTAAGAGTATCTGTTGCATATGCAATTGCTGTTGTTGTTGTTGCTGCTGCTGTTGCTGCTGATGTTGTGGTTGCTGACCTTGTTGCTGTTGTTGTTGCTGTTGCTGCTGCTGCTGCTCACGTGCTTTGATCAATTGAGTCTGAAAGTCAACACATTTGATTTATCGATGTGCGCAGAGGGATACTATTCATTTTTACAAAGAGCTTTATGTCGGAAGAAGAGTAATGTGTAACTAGCAGTCAAAGCAAGTTTAGAACACCCCGAAAAAGAAGTATACAGAAAATGAAGAGGTCCAAAATGCAACAGATATGAGGAGGAGTTCACAGCCCCTATGTTTCTCTATGGAGTTGATCTCCTATCAAGGGAAGAGTCCTTCAAATTATAGGATCTGAATAACATAAACAGCAATCAAATGATATCTGTTTTTACAGAATCATTTCCCACACTTAAGCTGTAAAACAAAACAGCTCCATCGCCACTTAAGATTGAAGTAAGCAGGAAGGAAAATAGTTGCAAGAAGTGCACAGCTAGATCATCAACAACAGGAGCAATCAATAGAACAGAAACATCCATCATAAGCTTATCGGGGAGAAAGATTCAATTTGCTTCTCAATGTTCAAGCACTTGACAGAAATTGAATTTGGAGATGAATAACTGTTGCTGTAAATCACTGGCAGCAATGGATTGTAAAATCCCACAGAGACACAGCAATTCTTGGAAGTCTCTCAAAATGAAACCCAAGCACGGAACAGCAAAGGAAGTTAACTCAGAAAAGTAGACTTGCAACATTATCTGGCCATTGCTAAAGTTCATTACTGGAGAAAACAGAAACAGCATTCTAAATCAACAGCAACTAAAGATTATATATATGTCGCACAAGAAACTAAGAGTTGTTCTTCGCTCAATGTAAGATGCTGCAACCTCGGAATGCTTCTCATTTGTCCTAGCAATAAATATGTCCCAGAAGACAGACCACCACTCAAAGAGAAATCCTCCAGGGGCGTCGATAGCTGAAATCATTACGAAGTATTCAAAGGAACCCGAAAAAAGGGCAATCAAAAAAGTAGCTCAAAGAATCAAGGGGACTCACAAAATTCAAAAAACCAATAGATTTCAGAGATACTGACCTACAGGATCAGAAGACACTTTCCCTTCAGCTTGAAAAGCCTGGGCAGAAGCCTTTAAGTCCCTCTTCACCAGATAATCATGGATGTAAACATCCAGCCTGTTATCAATAGTGAATCAAGCAGTGAGCATAATTAACGAAATGATTGCCCTACATGACTCAAACTATCCACAGGAAAAACAGAATGATCTTTACAAAATGAAACAGATTGGAGCCAGCATTGGCATTTGCATATCAACTCAGACTAGGATAAAGAAATAGCAGGTAAAACCATGCCTTTCAATTCTAAATCCAGAAAGAGAAGGGTGGGGGCAGAAGCAAGCTGCAGAACTAAGAACTACAACCAGATATAGAAGTAAATCGTTAAACTCAAGACTAGAACCTAGCTCGGCATAACAAACCCCACAAACAATTACCAAAACTGAAAACAACTGTTGAAGAATTGAATCCCTAGAATAGTAATGTCACACAAACATATCATCGAACATCAAAAGAAGCGCACCAAAGACCTCGAGCCTTGCAGCTGGGCACGAGTTCCCACAAAAACCCAGAACCCCCAAATCAAAGAGCACAACACTGAATCAGAAAGAACACCAAGCATGTCCGGACCCAGAAACTCACATTTTATCAGCTTCCCAGTTGGCCTGAGACATGTTTGCCGAATCTACAAAGCTCAGGTCATAACAATGTCGCCGTGGTATGTCAGAAAGCTGCGTCTGAAGCAGCTGGCAGCTCCCCCTTCCAAACTCTGAGATTTCAGCACAGAAATGCAAATACTTTCACCAGCAAAGAACCAAACTTTCCAGCTACAGTGAAACAGAATCTAACTACTCCCCCTCACAACAGAAACCCAGAAAACAAACTTTCGCGAGGGAAGCTCACAGAGAGAGAAGAGAGAGGGGGTGATGAGCAGAAAGGAAGAATCTTTTGGGGAGGAAACAGAATGAAAAAGAAAACAGAGCTGAAAATCCCTTCGGTTAAACTGAAACTGAAACCCCAAAACAAAAGAAAAGCGAAAGACGATAGAGATATTACCTGCAAATAAACGTTTATTTGTCTGAGAAAGAAATTCTCTTTTTTTTTTTTTTGTTGCTTTTTGTGGAAGAATTTTATTTTCTTCTTCGTAGCTCTGATGGATTGAGAGTTGCTCTTTGCAGTCGCAGATATCATGGCGTGGCTTGGTGTTCTAAGTCTATTTACCAGAAAGCCCCTCGTATCCTGGCATATTTATAAGTTAGTGCCACTCTCTAATCGACAAACATCTAGGCGAATTGACTATAAGGACCTTGTAATTTTTCTTTCGTTCCGCCCTGATCCGATGGGCCTTGGTTGCAATTATGGTGGACTTGGCGACTTTATGTGGGAATAAAAATAATTACAAAATGCTACAGCAATCAATCAGCTTTCTCTCCTTTTTACGTAGTAGGGACTAGGGCTCCTTGGCACCGCCCCAAATGTTTAGTCGTTTTACACGTATTGCCCCAAAACTTTACAAACTTGCATTTTCGGACCCTAATTGATGTGGCAAATCATAATATGAATTTCATTTTGGGTGAGGAAAAGATGATCGGGTAGGAGAAATCAATTTGAGAATTTTGATGTAATTCGCATAATTTTTTCTTTTTATTTACTTGTTATACATGGCCTTGTCAGCATGTGATTCAGGGTCAGATGCGAATTCTTTTCTATATCTCGTCTTTGTATGACTTTTTTAGTGTTATTTTAAAGCGCCAAACTTATTTAAATCACTACTCTTCATAATTTTATGTAAGTATTTGAAATGTTATCAATGTATTTTTTTTAATTGTTTATCAGAATCGTTCCACCTGTATTCTCTCACGAGCGTTACTCAATCAGATTTAATCATGTTGTTTTCTCGTCCTCCTAATCCTAAAATCTTATTGGATTTATTCATCGATTACTTCTCTATTTACAAACCACACATTCCTCCCGCGCAGCCAAACTCCACCGGGTCAAGGGCGTTGAATAAAGTAAAACCATTGACATTGAGGAACACAGAAAGAATATCATCGCCGTTTCCAGCCTCGTCATCTCTTTGCTTTTAGACCATTTCGTTTTGAAGCTTTGAGAGAGAATGGAAGGCCTGGGTTCTCCCATGGGCCAACAAATTGGGCTCCATTTCAAGGCCCCCGTTCTTTCTTTTCTTCTAAATTGACTTTTGTCCCCGAGCCCAATACTATTGTTGAGAAAAATAAGGAAAAAGGATACGAAGTATGAAAATTTCGAGCGAACGATGAGGGTTATGATTAGGGTTTCGGAACAAGTTATTGGGTGGTTGAGCCCAGTGACATAATGACTCCTGGACGGACCGTGAGGTTACAATGGGCTTCGCTTATTATTAGTTGCATGCTTATGGCCCAAGACTGGCATAACCTAGCTTTTGCTATTATACAGCCCGGCCCATCCTCACTCACAGCTGGTGTGTGAGCTTGTGAAATGGCGAATGACTACTACTGTAAATTGTAAAATTATCTAGAGGCCAATATGAAAATGAGGGTAAGAATTAGGGAGGAGGAAAATAATTAAGTAACGCTTTCGAAAGTTTCATTTCCAGTTGTCATCGTTGTTTTGACTTTTGACTCGTTAGAATACAAATTTCTTGCTAATAATTTGTTGTTTTGTCAATTATATTTTTAACAAGTAGGAAAAAAATAATTCATTTAGTTATTTTATAAATTTTTGTAAAGAAGCGCTTATAAAAATTATGTTAATATAATTATGTAACCCTGAATTACGATCAGTAATATTACTGGTAGAATTTGTGGAGCTAATATAATTTGCCCATATGTTCATCGTATAGCAATTTCATACCATAACTACCAGTGACGGACTCAGAAATTTTGTATAGGGGTGTCCCACTCAAAAATTAAATTAAATTTAAATTTAAAATAGTTATTAAATAAGAAACTATCCGACTAATACAAGTTACAATAAAAGTCAACGACATGTTACTCACTGTCTACTATGCTCAACAAATCTATTTCAATATATGTAACTAGATAATCATTCATGAACTGATCGCCTATTTGATTCCCGAAACTTGTTCTTATTGTAACCCAAAGCTGAAAAAGCTCTCTCAATACTTGGAGTTGCCATTGATAAAGTCAACACAACTTTGAGTAGCAAATAGACCACTGAAAACGATATGATCAAGGGATAGTTCGTGGGTTTAATTTTAGACTTTGGAAAATATGAGATTATATGCAAAAATCACAACAACAAACGAAATGTACTAAAATAGAAAAGATGTTCAGTAATAACTACTATGTTATAGATTCGAATCACATACACTATCAATTTTTTTTTTCTAGAGTTGATTAATTTTTATCTCAAATTTTAGGGGTGTCCCGGGACACACCGACACCTACACCATGGTGGTATGTACAATTACAACTCTCCCGCATGGATGTTGATCGATCGCGTCCTAGTAGGTGGGCAGCTTTTCTAACAAAGGGGTATAAACCGTTCATATTTTGCAGAGAGTAGCGCATGCAAAATCTATTTAGGCAGCCGATGGAGACTGAAAATTACAACACATGCATGCACCACAAGTAAATAACCACGACAAACAGTAATAATATGCATGGGACGAAGAAGGAAGGCTAAGTGTGTATGTGACTGACAAGGTTGATATATGGTCCTGTAGCTATATAATAATATACGTACGTACCCAATTTGCATGCGTAGCGTAGGTACGTATAAAATGTCATATTGCCCGGCCCGTACGTACAGTTTAGTATACTTACCACCCGCAACGCAACTGGGTGGTGGCGTGGGCTTGGGAAATTAGGTTAGGAAAAATGACAAGAGAAAGAGCCCAGAAGAGAACAGAGGAAAATTTAAGAAGCTGCTAGCAGACGCAGAGTAATGTATATATAGATAGATTGGTACAGAGAGAGAGAGAGAGAGAGAGAGGCTGAAGGGTCTTTCTCACTCAGTGTGGGACGATCGACTGTGTCATATATTGCAGCAGGGAGGAAATTCATTTCAATTAATTGATATATATGTAAGAATGAATATGTGTGTAAGCACATAGCATATAGATGTGGTCAAATAGTATTATAGAGAAGAGAGAATCCCAATATTATTCATCCATGACAAGTCTCACTCTCCCATTTCTCTCCTACGTACGCTTTATATTCATACAAAAATCTTGCTGTGTGCTTGTAGGGTACTGTCAGGGTTTTGGGTGTCAATGTATACCACTGTCTCTATTAGTGGACTCCGGCAGATACATACATCGCAAAGGTTCGAGCCAAATCTATTGCATTACTTATATAATTAGTCAATGTTAACTTTTGATGAGTAATTTTGTTAGTAATATTGATTTTGAGACATGATACTGACTTGAAAGAGATACATGAATGTTAATATTCCAAAATGTTAGTATTTTAACTAGAAAAAAATGTTACAAAATTATTAATAGTAATTGTGATGCATTATAAAATATTTAGCTAATTATTAATAATTCAATAGATTTGCCTAATAAAAAAAAGCGTGAAAAATTGGTTAAATGTTAGTATTTATCGTATTTATTAGTATTATTAAGAAGTACATTTACATTACAGATGAAGAGTTGGCCGGGGTGGGTAAAAAAAAGGGGGTCAGGCTCAGGCAGGCCCTCGGGTAGCTGCAAAAGCAACGTGCCACTGAGAGGTAAAATGGGCCCAAAACTGGAAGCAAAGAGAACACAGTACTCACAGAGACTCAGAACATATATACAAGGAGAATTCAATAAGAAGACGAAGAGAAAAGGAAGAAAAATTCCTTTTGCTCTTTGTTTTCTTCTTGCTATTTATTTATATAAAATTATTATTATGCATACTTATAAATTATATCATCATCTCATCACCTTTCCCACCAGTGCCAACTGCTAGCTGAGCGACTTGAAAGAAAGAAAGAAAGAAAGAAAGAAAAAGGGCAGAAGTGTTTAATTGCAGAGTTGGATGGGTACTTTTTATGTTGTGAATTTTCGCATAGGGCTATATTGGTCACTGCGCCATGCAGAAGGAAGCTAGCCTGCTAAGTAAATAAACGTATAATGGTCCAAATTTCTTCTACCTCAAAGATGAGTTGATGATCTGATGGATCTCCTTCGAGCGTTGGTCTAATATCTAGTTAGGGGCAGACAGAATCCGGGCTTGAAAAGGTTCATTAAATATAACTATAGTTCGTTCAAAATCCAATTCATTGGGTGGCGGGTGTACTGATGTTAGATAGCATGACTACTTCCTATTAATTATAAATTTTTAAGATAATTAATTTGTGTTGCATTTAACAATTTGTCTGAATTAAAAACTCATATTAATTACTTTTTTCCCCCAGTGCAATGCTAATTGTATCAGTGCAGTGGTAGTTCAAAAAATGAATATACTTAATATGAGTTTTTAATTTCCAAAGATTATTGAATGCAACACAAAAAACAACTATAATTAATAGGGGTGTCGGTTTTGCAACCCCTTAGAGGGGTTGTCAAGCCAACCGAACCAGTGTGTACCTGTAAATTTTTGTGAATATTTATTTGGTTTTATGAGAGAAAATTCAACCAACTCAACGAGTGCATAGATACTCATTGGTTCACCGACATAACCGTAAATAATTTCCCTCAACAGTCAACACTCACATCATAATATTTAATTTTCTACAAAAATACAATGCTAATAATATTTTAAAATTATCCATATTGTTATAGTCAGATACAAAATCGCATCGTTTTACTATTTGAGTGTGGATCAAGTAAAAAAGATAATCGAAATATGGGGAGAATAACACCATATTTTGAAAACTGGATAAAACTCACACCGACCAAAATCCGATTAACACCATATTTTACCCGCTTTCAATTGAATAAATTAGAATGATACACCATGGGTTTCGATTCAATGTCCATCCCTAGCTATAATATCCTCCATAGAAAAACGATATAAACCGTTGGCCGCTGAGACTTATTTTACGGATCAACCAACGGATATGTGGGTATTAATCGCGTAATTAGTAATGAAAAGTTAGGTACGCCGTACGTGTAAAGAGAAATGAGTGCATTAATCGAG